GATGATGATGATGATGATGATGATGATGATGATGATGATGATGATGATGATGATGATGATGATGATGATGATGATGATGATGATGATGATGATGATGATGATGATGATGATGATGATGATGATGATGATGATGATGATGATGATGATGATGATGATGATGATGATGATGATGATGATGATGATGATGATGATGATGATGATGATGATGATGATGATGATGATGATGATGATGATGATGATGATGATGATGATGATGATGATGATGATGATGATGATGATGATGATGATGATGATGATGATGATGATGATGATGATGATGATGATGATGATGATGATGATGATGATGATGATGATGATGATGATGATGATGATGATGATGATGATGATGATGATGATGATGATGATGATGATGATGATGATGATGATGATGATGATGATGATGATGATGATGATGATGATGATGATGATGATGATGATGATGATGATGATGATGATGATGATGATGATGATGATGATGATGATGATGATGATGATGATGATGATGATGATGATGATGATGATGATGATGATGATGATGATGATGATGATGATGATGATGATGATGATGATGATGATGATGATGATGATGATGATGATGATGATGATGATGATGATGATGATGATGATGATGATGATGATGATGATGATGATGATGATGATGATGATGATGATGATGATGATGATGATGATGATGATGATGATGATGATGATGATGATGATGATGATGATGATGATGATGATGATGATGATGATGATGATGATGATGATGATGATGATGATGATGATGATGATGATGATGATGATGATGATGATGATGATGATGATGATGATGATGATGATGATGATGATGATGATGATGATGATGATGATGATGATGATGATGATGATGATGATGATGATGATGATGATGATGATGATGATGATGATGATGATGATGATGATGATGATGATGATGATGATGATGATGATGATGATGATGATGATGATGATGATGATGATGATGATGATGATGATGATGATGATGATGATGATGATGATGATGATGATGATGATGATGATGATGATGATGATGATGATGATGATGATGATGATGATGATGATGATGATGATGATGATGATGATGATGATGATGATGATGATGATATGATGATGATGATGATGATGATGATGATGATGATGATGATGATGATGATGATGATGATGATGATGATGATGATGATGATGATGATGATGATGATGATGATGATGATGATGATGATGATGATGATGATGATGATGATGATGATGATGATGATGATGATGATGATGATGATGATGATGATGATGATGATGATGATGATGATGATGATGATGATGATGATGATGATGATGATGATGATGATGATGATGATGATGATGATGATGATGATGATGATGATGATGATGATGATGATGATGATGATGATGATGATGATGATGATGATGATGATGATGATGATGATGATGATGATGATGATGATGATGATGATGATGATGATGATGATGATGATGATGATGATGATGATGATGATGATGATGATGATGATGATGATGATGATGATGATGATGATGATGATGATGATGATGATGATGATGATGATGATGATGATGATGATGATGATGAGATGATGATGATGATGATGATGATGATGATGATGATGATGATGATGATGATGATGATGATGATGATGATGATGATGATGATGATGATGATGATGATGATGATGATGATGATGATGATGATGATGATGATGATGATGATGATGATGATGATGATGATGATGATGAT